CAACTTCTGGAGGCAAGTTGTTCCACAGATTAATTGTTCTACCTGCCAGGAAATGTCTCCTAAATTGCTTCTCTCCTTGATTAGTTTCCACCCATTGCTGCTTGTCCTGCCCTCAGGTGCTTTGGAGAATAGCTTGACTCCCTCTTCTTTGTGGGAACCCCTGAGATAGAACACTGCTATCATGCCTCCCCTAGTCCTTCTTTTCATTAAACTAGACATACCCCATTCCTGCAACCCTTCTTTATATATTTTAGCTTCCAGGCCCCTAATCATCTTTGTTGCTCTTCTCTGCACTCTTTCTAATCTCAAACCCTTTTTTTACATTGTGGTGACCAAAACTGGATGCAATATTTCAAGTGTGGCCTTACCAAGACATTATAAAGTGGTATTAACACTTCACATGATCTTTTTTTATTTATAAAACAACATAATATAACAAACATAAAACACATAACATATTCCCTTATTACAACTGTTTCATAGTGGTAGTCTTCTAATATTTACATTTTCTCCCATTTTCCCTTATAATATTTATATCCTTCTTGTCCCATTATCCCTTATTACTCTATAATTTCTATCACTCATAATATTGATTTTATACACATTATACATTAACTTACAAACACTTTACGCTTATGATTTCTCCCCTTTTGTTATTGTTCACCATTTCTAATCTCCAGCCAGTTGTACCATTTCTTCCATATTGCATAGTATTCTGTATCTTACTTTTCTTTAATTTCCTTTGTTAATTTGTCCATCTCAGCACAATCTAAAATTTTCTTTATCAATTCTTCCTCCGTTGGTGTATTTTCTTTTTTCCAATTTTGTGCATATGATATTCTTGCGGCCGTTTTTATATGTAAGATTAAGTATTTTATTTCTTTGGTATAATTTCTAGTGAATATTCCTAACAAGAATGTCTCTGGTTTCCAATCAATAGGTTGATCTGTTATTTTTTCCAACCATTTCTTGATTTTGGCCCAATACTTTTTGCAGCCAGACATGTCCACCAAGGATGATAATATGTTCCGTAAACCTTGTTATATTTCGCCATATTGGTGAGCTGTTTGGGAACATCTTAGCAAGCCTTGCCGGCAAGAGATGCAATCTCTAAAGCATCTTCAACTGGTTCTCCTTGAATGCTGCAGACATAGTTAATTTTGCATTTACTTGCCACGTTTTTCCCCATCTCTCCAGTTCTATATTATAATTAAAACTTTTTGCCCATTTAATTGTTTGCTTAACTACCTCGTCTTCCATCTTGTACTGCAATAAAAATTTATATATATTCCTAATTAATTTCTCCACTGTCCCTTGTATAATTTGGTCTAGGTCATGCTGATCGTTTTGTATTTCGTATCATTTTATGTCTTTTTTATATTTAGGTTGAATTTGTGTATATGTCCACCAATCAATTTCCCTACCTAAATCCTGTTCCAATTCCTGTTTTGTTTTCAAATTTCGTTGTTCTTTTAGTACATCCCTATACCTAATTATCTTATCCATCTCGATTAAATTTGGGTGCTTTAATGCTTCCATTGGTGATATCCACATTGGTATTTTTGCATAATGCTGTTTTTTTATTTTTAACCAGATTTCTAGCAATGCATTCCTTAGTATGTGCCTTCTAAAGTAGGTGTGTATCTTGTATTTTTGATCCCAAAGCACTGCATTCCATCCTACTTGTAGGTCGTGCCCCTCTATTGCTAAAACTCTTTTATTTTTTAATTCTATCCAATCTTTTAACCAGATTAAGATAGAAGTTTTGTACTATCGTCCCCGTTCTGGAAGTGCTAATCCCCCTTTGTCTTTTGTGTCTTGAAAAGTTTGAGTCTAATTCTCAGCCTTTTCCCCTCTCATATATAGTAACTATTTTATTTAAAGCATAAAAAAAAAATCCTTAATTTTATTGGGATAACCTGAAACAAAAATAGTATTTTTGGCAGTATATTCATTTTGATTGTAGCGATCCTCTCCCAAAATGAGATCTGTAGTTGCCCTCCTTGACTGAGGAACATTTAGCTGTAAGCCAAATCCCTAAATATTTTATCTTCTTGGTTGTTTGTATTTTTATACTTGGGTGTGTGTGTGTGGGGGGGGGAAACACTTCACATGATCTTGATTCTATCCCTCTGTTTATGCAGCCTAGAACTGCGTTGGATTTTTTGGTGACTGCAGCACACTGTTGGCTCATATTTAAATGATTGTCTACTACAGGCCTCTTAAACTGGTGGCTGCCAGGCTGGATGAGTCACATGCAGGCCACGCCCGCCCTGGCTCCAGAGACAAAAAAAGTTGCAATACGTCACGTGACACGATCAAGTTTGACACCCGTGATCTACAAGGACTTCAAGATGCCTCTCACAGTTACTACCATTTCTAAACTTATTTTAAATATATTTCTAAAATACATTTTTTTAAAAAAAGAGAAAAATAGAATGTTCCACATGGCTGACTGCTCATCAGGATAACTTTATTACGGGGGCACCCTACACTGCCATTTTTTAATGAAGATCTAGTAAGAATTTCGGACTTTTCTTCTGAGGAAATGGAGAATTCCTCTGATTAGGGACTGGCGGCCTGTGGCCTGGCTCAATGGACCATCTCCTCTGGCATTGGATTGTCTTTTAGTTTGCTCAGTTTTATTAGATATGTGGTGTTAGTAAGTTTTTGGGGTCTCATTTTTCTATTAGGAAATATTTTATTCGGTATTCTGCTATTTCCTTTGGATTCATTTTAATGTTTCTTCTTTGTATAATGAAATTCAATAAATGTTTATTGTTGCTCTGCACTTAACTCTTAATCATGACATAAATTATTATTTTTATCCTCATATTGATACGTGTTGTCCACCTTTTTTACCTTCTGGGGATTTTCTTGTATGCATCACACATCTCCAATACCACCCCCCAAAAAGGAAAAATTGCAGAATTGGAATAAAAAGAAAAAGCACTCTTGGCAATGAACTCTGTGGTACCTAGCCAACCACTAAAGTCTTTCAATGTCTTCTGTTCTGTTTCTTGTCCTATTTTATTCAGAAATCTATGTCCACTAAATATAATTTGTCCTCGCTGGGGTAAATAATGGACATTGTTTTAGAAAAGTTCAAGTCCCTGCCCAACACCCACAAGTCCATCACATTGTGCAATCAAACATTGTCCCAACTGGAGATGACTCCCAGGTCTAGCCTTCCAGGTGCAGGGCAACATGTCCTTGACTTTCTTGAGAAAAGAATGTCATTATGACTGTACATCACCCCTGCTCCATACAATCCCCCCTCCCAGTTTCCCACAGTAGTAAATGTGGCAGGACTGAAGGCCTAAGGCAAAAGATGGCTTCCAGGCCTGACACAGGATGGGCAGGGGGGATGCCAGCTGTGAGATTGGGATTGTCACATCAGAGGAAAGCAAGCCAGCAAAATAGTAGGGCAAACAGGAAAAGAGAGGCTTTGTGAGGGAAATGAAAAGAAGAGATAAGCAAAAGTAGAAGCACCTCAATCACGTGTCAGCTTATTATAATTTCCACTTTAGTTTGTGACCAGCACAATTCCAATTATTCCCTCTCCCTAGAACAGACCACTCACACACCACATAATTCATTTTTGAGTTGGCAAAAGATTAGCTTGATGTTATTTATTAAAATGCATAAAATATGATTAACTAGCAAAATGGTCTTTGTTTCAAAAACCCAGTTACTTCTTAGGGTTGGTTGTTTTTTTTTTCTGTCTTTTGGTAGTTCTTAAACGATCTTGTGAAACAACATGGTTAAAATGCTGTCCAACTATAAATTGGAGGGGTGTCAAGATGTTTAAATTTATAACTGGAACAGTGGGGGTTGTGTAAAGAGTCAGAACACACCGTTACAGCTGATTGATTGAAGAGAACTGGCTACTGCATGAGGCAATCTGAACTGTGATTGGTTGCCTTGACTGAAAAGGGGGAGTTTCCTTGTTTCCCGCCTTTTTACCCTGTATGCTCTGTTTTACCTGATGTTTCTGTCGTGTTGATTTTACCTCACTTTGCTCCCATTTGCCTGTCTTTACTGTAAATATATTTATTTATATAAAGCCACAAGTTCTTGTCAGCGTCTCTGACTCCATTTGGACACAGACTGCACAATTCCCTGATACAAGTATCTTCCTTGTATCTTCTCCCACCTTCTTATACTCCTCTGAATTAGAGAGGTTTTTCTGTGAGTCTCTTCTGAATAGGATCCGTATGCTGTGGACTTGGGGAGATGTTTTCCCCTCATCTCTTTAGTAATGGAGTTTGCATATCTCCCAATATATTTTCTTTAGTCTGTGCACTGGGGCTTCTGGGCATACGGTAGAGCGAGTGACAGTGCTGGGCTAAGAGCAGGGAGATACAGTTTGTGTTCTCTACTCAGTCATGGAAAGTCCCGTGATTATCCAGACAGACCAACCACTGAGTTACATCTTGGTTTCTCTAACCCTAACCCTAACCCTAACCTGTCTGTTTGAATTGTGCTGGTGAAATGAACAATCTTGGAATTCTTTGGTGTCTTCCAATCCCAACAAAATCAGGATAAACATCACTTTTGCTCCTACAAATAATATTCCTCTCTATATTTGAAGGATAAATGTTTGAAAAAAATTAAGGTGCTCTGGGAGAGAAATGAAAAACAGGAAACACCTCCCATGTATTGGGAAGAGTGTTGGATTACCTTGTCTCAATGTTTACATAAATGCTGACACTTTCCTTTTTTTCTCTCAAAATCTATTCATGATTCTTATGCAATGCTGCTTTAGAAATTGAAACATTATTTACTGTACAATTTTTCTCACATTTCCCAACCAAGGGGGGAACCACAAAATGTCAGACCTTGGTGCTGCTCCCACACCCCAGCCATCAAAGACTAACAAGGAAGCAGGCACCTCCAAGCGAAGGAGTTGCGAATAAACCTGGAGCCTGTGCTTAGAAACACAATGTAAGGACTTGCCTCTACTGTCTCTTCAAGAAAGCAGGACTCTTGAAACAGGAGGGATTTCAAAAGGAAATGTTTATTGAGAGACAGTGATAGTAAGTAGAGTGGCATTCAGGCCCTCCCTGCCAGAATGACAGCATCCCCATAAGGATCTATGGGGACCTGACACACAATCCCTTTTCTCCTCAACTCAATATTCCTACAGCTCTTCTCCATGAAGGTCACCTGTAGGGCAGAACATTTACATCAGAAATTCTACACTGCTTTTGTCACTGCCTCAAACTCCCCCAATATATTTGCTATTTGTATGGTTTCTCCCACTTGCATGCCTCATTCTTGACAAAATCTGAGCAGATATGCTTGGCGCAATGAATTTCTGCAATTGTTAGGAAAAGATAAACTACTATGTTTTTCGGAGTATAAGACACAGTTTTCTCCCCCTAAGAGGGTGAAAATTTGGGTGCGTCTAATATACTGAATGTAGCCAAGCCCACCCACTGGCCCCACCCTTTGGCCATTTTTGGCCTCCACACAACGCGTTTTAGACCTATGCCAGAGCACATCGCCACTGATTGCTGCCTCTGTACATCGTGTTTTCAGCCTCTGCGGATCACGTTTTCGGCCTCTGCACGCCCTATTTTTGGTCTTTGCGCATTGTATTTTTGGGCAGGATTGGCGGCCTGGGACCACCCAAAAACACAATGTGCACAGGCCATAAAAGGGCTGTGGAGGCTGAAAACGCAATGCACAGAGGTGACAATATGCTCTGGCGATTCCTGCAGCCTTGAAAAGTCTGAAATGGAGTGTTCAGAGGCTCAAAATGTGAGGCACGGAGGCAGCGATGGTCTGTAGCAATCCCTGCAGCCTGGAAAAGCTGATTGGGGGAGGACATCCAGGGAGAAGACGGGGCCTCTTCATGTGGCATTTCAATCATTTGTTATGATAAAAATGGAAAGAACACTCCTAAAAAGATGTTTGCAGATTTCTACAATTTTTGCAAAAATAAAATATCCAGCAATTTCTGCTATTAATGGCCAAACAGTCCTTATCAAATTAACATGTTCCACTTTTTCCTTTCCTTCTTCCCATCTAATACCATGACATATTTGATGAAAAAAAATCAGGCAAATTTTTTGTACTCAAATAAAAAAGTAATTTCTCAGTTGAAATTCAAGCCTTCTCTACACGCATCACTTTGGGCCCCAGGTGCATTTTCTTGTGTGCGATAAGGTTGGAAGATTTCCTGAAGCAGCATGCACACTCAGAGCACTTAAATGGTTTCTCCCGTGTATATAAGCTTATGATTTGGAAGGCTATCCTTAGTACTGAAATCTTTGCAGTCTGGACACTCATATGGTTACTCTTCTATGTGAGTCCTCTGGTGACTCACCAGTCGACAATTCCAAAGGAAACTTTTCCCACAATCTGGACACTTATATGGTTTTTCCCCAGAGTGAGTCACCAGGTCATAATTCTGACTGAAACTTTTCCCCAATCAGGACATTCAAAGGGTTTCCCTCCTGTGTGAATCCTCTGGTGTTTCACCAGATGGAAATTCTGACTGAATCTTTTCCCACAGTCAGAACATTCAAAGTGTTTCTCTCCTGTGTGAATCCTCTGGTGTTTCACCAGGTTGGAATTCTGACTGAAACCTTTCCCACAGTCAGGACATTCAAATGGTTTCTCTCCTGTGTGAGTCCTCTGGTGTGTCAGTAAATTGGAATTATCACTAAAGCTTTTCCCACAGATAGGACATTCAAAGGGTTTCTCTCCTGTGTGAGTCCTCTGGTGTGTCACCAGGCTGGAATTATTACTAAAATGTTTCCCACAGTCAGGACATTCAAAGGGTTTCTCTCCTGTGTGAGTCCTCTGGTGTGTCACCAGAATGGAATTATCACTAAAACCTTTCCTACAGTCAGGACATTCAAAGGGTTTCTCTCTTGTGTGAGTCCTCTGGTGTATCAACAGGTGGGAATTTTGACTGAAACTTTTCCCACAGGCAGAACATTCAAAGGGTTTCTCTCCTGTGTGAGTCCTCTGGTGCATTACCAGGTTGGAATTCTGACTGAAACTTTTCCCACAGCCAGAACATTCAAAGGGTTTCTCTCCTGTGTGAGTCCTCTGGTGCATTACCAGGTTGGAATTCTGACTGAAAACTTTCCCACAGTCAGGACATTCAAATGGTTTCTCTCTTGTGTGAGTCCTCTGGTGTATCACCAGGTGGGAATTCTGACTGAAACTTTTCCCACAATCAGGACATTCAAAGGGTTTCTCTCCTGTGTGAATCCTCTGGTGCCTTATCAGGCTGGAATTATCACTAAAACCCTTCCCACAATCAGGACATTCAAATGGTTTCTCTCCTGTGTGAGTCCTCTGGTGCCTTACCAGGTTGGAATTATCACTAAAACCCTTCCCACAGTCAGGACATTCAAAGGGTTTCTCTCCTGTGTGAATCCTCTGGTGTGTCACCAGGTAGGAATTCGTAATGAAAGTTTTCCCACATTCAGAACATTCAAAGGGTTTCTCTCCTGTGTGAGTCCTCTGGTGTATCACCAGGTAGGAATTCTTACTGAAACCTTTCCCACAGAAAGCACATTCAAACAGTTTCTCTCCTGTGTGAGTCCTCTGGTGTATCAGCAAATCGGAATTATAATTAAAGCTTCTCCCACAGAAAGGACATTGAAAGGGTTTCTCTCCTGTGTGAGTCCTCTGGTGCCTTACCAGGTAGGAATTATAATTAAAACTTTTCCCACAGTCAGAACATTCAAAGGGTTTCTCTCCTGTGTGAGTCCTCTGGTGTGTCACCAGGTTGGAATTATCACTAAAGCTTTTCCCACAGTCGGGACATTCAAAGGGTTTCTCTCCTGTGTGCATGGTCCGGTGTCTCATGAGTTGGGAATTTCTAATGAAACTTTTCCTGCACCCTCGACACTCACCGGGTTTTTCTGTGGAGTGAATCTTTTCATGTAACGTATCCTTGAATTCTGCATAATCTGCTTATTCTTTCTTGATTTTCTCTCTTCTTTCTAACAGCTGTTGGAGGAGGAGGAGGAAAATTCTGTGTTTTTCTGAAGGAAATGGAAAATATTTTGATTTCTGGCTTGATTATCTTCACTTTTCAATGTTCCTTGTTATTTACAGTTGTCCAGAGTGCTCTTATTGCCATCCTGTTTGTCTGTAAGATTCAAAGAAAAGGGTAACTTTGTTTATAAAATGGTTAGAGATGTGAAAAATGAAAAAAGTATATATTACAATGAAAAAGCAATCATGCCCCAATACTAGAATCATCACTGAAATTATTTATGATTCGATACATGGAAGACTAGCGATATCCACATTCAAATGTCCATTCAAATTCAATTGTTGATTGGGTTAATCACAAATTCTTAGCAATGGAAAGGACTATCATCAATTATATCTTTTTTTTTTATTTTTTAAAACATAAAACATAAAATACATCTTTTTAGAGTAAGGATTTGATCCGGTATAAATTAAATACAATTACTCACATTCCCTCAACCAATTTTGTTCCAAATTTTATCCATTTACCTCTTTAAAAAAAAAAAATCTTGAAAAAAATCCGGTGCAGCAGTCAGGGCGAAGGATTGGCGCGGCGCGAGCTCCGTGGTGCCGATCAAGTTTTTTGAAACTCCTCGGCTTTGTTTAGCCGCTTCCAGCCCCGGAGAGGCAGGAGGAACAGAGGGGCTTCCTTCAGAGGCGAGGAGAGGGCGTGCGACCCCCTTGCTGCAACGAAACGTGAGCCCCGAGGATTCGGAGAGCAAGAAGAAGGCCGCGTATAAGCGGTCCCAAAGCCAATGACGCTGCGGTTTTGACCGGCACGGGGAGGCAGGACAGAACGGGAAAGGAGAAGAAGACGAAAGAGAGACTGACTTGAGAACTGCAGGGCTGTACAGTGACTGGAGAGAATAGCGGCAGCCCAGATAGGAAAGAGAAGGAAGTTTTTATTTACAAAGTTTTTGGCGATCTCGCTGCTGAGAAATTGGAGAGAACCGGAAGGGCGAGTGAATTGGACTAAATATCGGTGACTTTTGGAGTGAGTGAAAACTTCTAGCTAAGAACTAAAACTCAGTGGATTAAGGAACAATATATAGCGTTTATCACTATAAAGCCAAGGATGATTTGGGGGTGAATATCTATTCTCCGGACCCCCCCCGCCTTCCCTACTAGGAAGTTAGCGTGACAGTGAGCCCTTTTCCTGTTTATATTAATTAGTTGGACAAACGGAAATAAGAGTGGGGATTAAAGAAGTTCTCCTTTTTTCTTTGAAGACTTAATCAACTCTTAGTACAAGTGTATATATTAATTATGATCTAATAGTTTGAGCAATTAATTATTTACTTAGATTTATTTATTACTTAACATAAACTGATATAATAATTTGTATATATAGTCATATAGAGTTTACTTGTGTATCGTGATAGGAATGAAATAAGGGAGAAAGTGGATTGATTGTGTATATCTAAATAGACTTCATAATAATATTTAATATTTAATAATAATAATACGTAATAATAGTAGTGTATGATAATTTGGAAAAGTTTTCTTTGTTTAGCAAACATGTCAACCACAGTAACCGCCACCAAAGTAATTAAAAAGCACATACCCTCTACAGCAGCATCCTCACCAATCACAACGCCTCCAGGTTTAAGAAAATCAATTGAAAATTTACCAACAGCAGAGAAACCAATCACAATGCAAGGAATGCAGACAATGTTCCAAAATATTCAAGAGCTAATTGAAAAGAACCAAGAAGTTACATCTAAAAATTTCGAGGACCTGAAAACAGAGATGAGTGAATTACGAGGAGAGATGAAACAAATAAAAGAGACACTGGGAGAGATGAGATCAACTCTGACGAAACATGAGGAGAGATTGACTGAGGTTGAAAAAACTACCGAAAGAGTTGAAACTCAAATAGACATTTGTGAAAGGAGATGTGCTCAAGCAGTCAGGAAACTCGAAGAGGAAGTAGTATTTTTAGAGATGGAGAAGTCTGCTTTCTTCTTACGTTTGCAAAATGTGGCGGAGGACAGAGAGGAACGGTTAGAGGAAATTGTGGGAGAAGTGATTGCTGAAGTAGTGGGGAGGAACAAGGAAGAAGTTTGTGGCGAGATAGATGAGGCCTACCGTGTTTATACCAACTACGCGAGACGGCATAATCTGCCTAGAGAAATACACATAAGACTTACTAAAAAGGCGCTTAGAGACGAAACCCTTCATAAGGCCAGGGATCAGAATATTACATATAAGGGACGGCAAATCACATTTTTAAAGCAGATCCCTAGAAGGGTGCGAGAACAGAGACAAAGTTATCAGTTTATAACCTTGCAATTAAGAAAACACAACACGCCTTATCGATGGTTATTGCCGGAAGGACTTTTGTTGACCTGGCAAGACCGAAAGATAAAAATTGAAAATATACAGGATGCACAGGATTTCTGTGAAAACTTCTTTGGACCCAATGAAGGGGAAAGAGAGAAAGAAATAGATAAAAAGAATCAAAAAGATCAGAAAGAGGAGTGGAGAAATGAGAGAGGAATACAAGCATACCAAGGAAAGGAGAAACGAAATGGGAGGAAGGGGGAGGAAGGAGAAATAGAAGAATATGGGATTGAAACTCGCTTAGCAGCTAAAATTAAAGGGACCAATAAATAGGGATGGATCAAGGAGTGAGACTATTGACAGTTAATGTCAATGGCCTCAATGCTCCGGCTAAGAGGAGACGTATATTAACCAAAATTGTGAAAATTAATGTGGATATTGTTTGTATACAAGAAACGCATATTAAATTGTCACAGGCCAACTTACTGAAATGCCCTAAAGCAGGGAAATTGTTTGTAGCAGCCTCAGAGGAGAGAAAGAGAGGCATTGTAATGTATGTAAAAGAGTATCTTTCCCCAAAACAACTTTTCGCAGATGAAGAGGGACGAATACTATTGTTAGAGGTGGAAATATCTCAGAGTAAAGTTTTACTGATAGGAATTTATGCTCCAAATTCTAAACATAAATTGTTCTTCCGAAAAATACAAAGAGAAATCCGTGACTTGGACTATAAGCAGGTATGTCTTCTGGGAGATTTCAATGCAGTTGTTAATAGGATACAGGATTATAAAGCAGGGGAAAATCAAAAAAGAAAAGGAGGACAAGATAGGATAATCTTACCAGTCATTTGCAATGAAATGAGAGAGGAATTAGGACTGAAAGACACATGGCGTGAGCACAATCCGACCAAAAAACAATTTACTTATTACTCATCCAGACATAAATCGTGGTCCAGGCTGGACATGATTTGGTTGACATAAGAACTTAACTCCCTAGTAACAGAGATTAGAATTATGCCGAATGACTGGGCAGATCATAATCCAGTACTAGTTACATTAAAGAAGGAAAAGAAAAATAGAAGAAGATGGATGATGAGGCCAGAGATTTTAAAAGAGACTGAGTTCATACAGAAGCTTAAAATAGAAATACCTCGGTTCTTTCAAGAGAATAAAACACCGGGAATGTCACTGCAAATAATATGGGACACCGCCAAAGCCTTTATAAGAGGGATTAGCATCAAATATATGGCCAATAAACATAAAAAAGAAGAACAAGAAAGAGGTGAGTTAATAAGTAAACTAATAAAGGTGGAGGAAAAATTACAAGATAACCCACTCTCTGCAGGAGCAAAAGAACAAATAATATTACTAAGACATCAGCTTAATCTCCTAGAATTGGATAAAATGAAAGATAAGATAAGGAGAGCAAAACAAAAACACTTTGAATCAGCTAATAAACTAGGAAGATGGCTGACATTTAGATTAAAAAAAGAAAAACAGAGTAGACCAATAGACCAATTGGAAGACAAGGAAGGGAATTTACTAAAAGATAAAAAAGGAAAGGAAAAAATTGCAGTGGATTTCTATAAAGAATTGTATAAAAGGGAGGAAATTTCATCTGGTGCAATAAAAAATTACATAGAGAATTCGGACCTACCTAGGATATCCAATCTAACAAAAGAGATACTAGAGGAAGAAATTACTTTAATGGAGATAGAAAAAGCAGTAAAGAAACAGGGGAATCTAAAAACCCCTGGCACAGATGGACTTCCAGCAGAACTATACAAAACAATATTTGAGGTTATGGGAGAGCATATGAAGGATCTATTTAATGAAGTAGTGGGAAAAGCGGAAATCCCCCATTCATGGAGAGAAGCAAATATTAGCTTGATTCCTAAGGAAGATGCCCCCCCATCAGATATAAAAAATTATAGACCGATTTCCCTGTTGAATTCAGATTATAAAATTTTCACTACAATTTTGGCAAATAGATTAAAAGGGTTTTTGAATGAATTTATACACATGGACCAAAATGGATTTCTACCATCACGACAATTACGGGATAATATGAGATTTATGTTAAATATATTAGAATACTATGAAGAACACCCAGGCAAACAGGTTGCATTAGTTTTTATAGATGCCATGAAGGCATTTGATAAAGTTAATTGGGATTTTATAATAGCGCAACTAGAATATATGGGATTTGGGCAGAGGTTTATAAAAGCGATTAAAGCTATTTACTCCAAACAAGTGGCTAGATTATTGATAAATGGGGACTTGACGGAAGAATTTGTTATTGGCAAAGGCACAAGACAGGGATGTCCCCTATCTCCTTTACTTTTTATTCTATCATTAGAGACCCTATTACGTAAAATAAGGAAAGAAGAAAAAATTAAAGGCCTTAGAATTGGACAACAGGTATATAAAACCCAGGCCTTTGCTGATGATATGGTTTTTATTCTGGAAGAGCCCATAGAATCTTATTTATATTTGTTAGAGACAATCGAAGAATTTGGGGCGGTAGCTGGGTTACTAATTAATAAGAACAAAACAAATATATTAACTAAGAATATTCGAGAAGAACCTAAGAGAGAGCTACAGGTGGTAACTGGACTAAAAGTAGTCAATAAAGTTAAATATCTGGGAATTTGGCTAACTAATAGATGTTCGAGTATACAGGAGGATAATTACAATAAATTATTAATTCAAATCAAAAAAGATCTAGAGAGATGGGGTAAAATACAACTCTCACTACTTGGGCGAGTTACAACTGTGAAATCCTATGTTTTACCAAAGTTTAACTTTTTATTTCAGACTGCACCAGTGAGCTTAGCTAAGAAATTTTTTATAGAGTTGAATCAAATAATATCGAAATTTGTTTGGCAGGGGAAGAAACCACGGATTAAAAGAAAGATGATGCAAGAAGTAAAGGAAAGAGGAGGCTTAGAACTTCCATGTTGGGAGATGTATTATTCAGCTGCTTTACTAACCTGGGTAAAAGAGTGGATTACTTTATCCAATAATCGGCTCCTTAAGTTAGAAGGCTTTGATATACAACAGGGTTGGCATAAGGCACTTTGGCGTGAGAATATCCCATTGAGTAAATGGTTTACCCGACATTATATAAGAAAGATCTTAATTCAAAATTGGGAAAAGATCAGTAAAAAATACTACATCAAAACACCCGGTTGGTTAGCACCTTTAGAAGCAGTAACATATCCCAATTTATATAATGTGGCTAAAAAATTAACATACAAGGACCTACTGAATTCACAAGGGAAATTAAAGTCCAAACAGGAATTAACCGCCCAAGGAGTGCAGATGGATTGGTGGAGTTATCTGCAGATCCAGTCTAAATACCAAAAGGATAGGGATGGAAGAGGGATTGATGGAGGATTACAAGAATTAGATAAAATTTTGATGGGTCAAGAAAAGGGTATGATCTCAAAATCTTATAAATTGCTTATGAAATTAGAGATAGGGGAAGAAATAGTCAAAGATTCTATGATTGCTTGGGGGAAGAATTTTGGGTACCCAATATACCTAGATAAATGGCAAGAGATCTGGTGGGATAACATGAAATTAGTTGTATCTATGGCCTATAAAGAAAATATCTATAAAATGATCTATAGGTGGCATTTGCCGCCTAATAGACTAGCTAAAATGTTCTCCAATGGTGGTCATGCCCGAAGGCAGTGATATTTTGGGGGGAAATCAAAAAATGGCTTAACGAGATATTAGTGTTAAAGATTGACTGGCGACCAGAGACATGCCTGCTCGGCTCCAAACCGCAAAATATAAAAAAGGACCTATGGTATTTGGCATTACATATCATTACAGCGGCGAGACTGATATATGCTCAATTTTGGAAGAACCAAAATATCCCAACAGAGGAGCCTATTATAAAAAAAAATTTGGAATGTGCGGAAGCAGATACGCTAAC